ACTGATGGCACGGATGAAATGGTAAGTTTAATGACCTTTTTCGCCTTCTGTAAAGGTCTGAGTAAGGCAAAGGTTCCTCTAAGATGTATGCATTAATCCAGTACCTAGTGTGTGGTAATTAGGATCTTGTAATTAGCGAGTAAAGGAAGATTAACAGATCCATTACTCATTTCCAGACGACAAACTGCCCGGCGAAGGAGGGCGATGGTGCGAAGTCGTGTCGGGCCTCGGAGTTCCAGTGCGGGAACGGCAACTGCATCCCCCAGACGTGGAAGTGCGACGGACAGGACGACTGCAGAGATAACACGGACGAGGAGGACTGTGGTGAGTTTTTGAAGATGTTATGCAATAATCCAGTACCTAGTGTGTCGGTAATTAGGATCTTGTAATTAGCGAGTAAGGAAGAATTAACAGCATCCATTTACTCATTTCCAAGACGACAAACTGCCCGGCGAAGGAGGGCGCTGGTTGCGAAGTTCGTGCGGGCCTCGGAGTTCCAGTGCGGCAACGGCAACTGCATCCCCCAGACGTGGAAGTGCGACGGACAGGACGACTGCAGAGATAACACGGACGAGGAGGACTGTGGTGAGTTTTTGAATAGCTGTTGGTAGGTTTATAACTGGCGTCAACGGTGTATTTGGTGGTCCATGTCAGTTGTGGATGGGTTCATATTTGGCTTATTTCTTATGTTTGGTTACATTTCAGCATATATGTTGATCATTAACCATCTCTTTTATTGTTTGCTTTAACAGAAAAGACATGTAGGGAAACGCAGTTCCAGTGTGTGAGTGACAAGCAATGCATTACGAAGAAGTGGCGTTGTGACAACCAGAAAGATTGCCAAGATGGCTCAGACGAGGTAAGGATGATCTGCAACTGCTCTCTGAATCTCTTTCGCTCTCAGGTATCTGATTCGAAAGCATAGTTCTTATGTCCGTATTCTGATGTACCTGTTTTATTTTTCTCCAGGAAAACTGTGAACAAGAAGCAGTGACTGTCCCACCACACATGTTCAGGTGCGAATCTGGCATAACTATTCCCACGCGTTGGGTGTGCGACGGACAGGACGACTGCAGAGATAACACGGACGAGGAGGACTGTGGTGAGTTTTTGAATAGCTGTTGGTAGGTTTATAACTGGCGTCAACGGTGTATTTGGTGGTCCATGTCAGTTGTGGATGGGTTCATATTTGGCTTATTTCTTATGTTTGGTTACATTTCAGCATATATGTTGATCATTAACCATCTCTTTTATTGTTTGCTTTAACAGAAAAGACATGTAGGGAAACGCAGTTCCAGTGTGTGAGTGACAAGCAATGCATTACGAAGAAGTGGCGTTGTGACAACCAGAAAGATTGCCAAGATGGCTCAGACGAGGTAAGGATGATCTGCAACTGCTCTCTGAATCTCTTTCGCTCTCAGGTATCTGATTCGAAAGCATAGTTCTTATGTCCGTATTCTGATGTACCTGTTTTATTTTTCTCCAGGAAAACTGTGAACAAGAAGCAGTGACTGTCCCACCACACATGTTCAGGTGCGAATCTGGCATAACTATTCCCACGCGTTGGGTGTGCGACGGACAGGAGGACTGCAGTGAGGGGTCGGATGAAAAGGTAAAGAGACCCTTGGATTTTCATGAGATTTTACGTCGTTGGCACGCATATGAGAGGTGAAATAGGCACTATGGCACCACAATAATACCACATCTTCCTTGCAGGACTGTCCAGGGGGAGAGGATAAAAAGCCAGCTGAAAGATCGGATCCTTGTCGAGATAACGAGTTTCAGTGTGGAGCTTACTGTATCATGGCGACCTGGGTGTGTGATGGAGGCGTCGACTGCCCCAACGGCGAAGACGAGGCAAACTGCGACAAAGAATGCCCAGAATCACACTTCACGTGCAGTAACAAACAGTGCATTCTTGGGCACTTGAGATGCAACGGAGAGAAAGAATGCGCTGATGGTTCCGACGAATCTGAGTGCCGTAAGTATTATGTATGTGAAGGATTGCCAAACGGCACTTGTGATCATGGCCGAAGAACCAAGTGATTTGCAAAGTTAACCTCAATGCTTCTCTCCAACATCAGACGTAGTAATTACTCAAATTTCTCTTCAACAGCCAAAGTACCGGCAGTTACGGATGCACCGAAAGTGGAATGCAACCTGACATCTCACTTCTTGTGTTCACTCAACAAGTGCATCCACCGCAGGAACCTTTGCAACGGCAGAAACGACTGTGGCGACTGGCAGGTAATTTTCGCATGGAGGAGAAAACGATCGGAGAGACGCGTTGAATATATATATGAACATATAAATATCGAAAATTCTTCTGCATTATGTGTATCCAAGTTCATTCTACTTTTCTGAAACTGTTTTTTTTAAACCAGATAACAACATTTGTGCTTGATTTTCAGGATGAGTCTGAGGAAGAGTGCGGTGTGAACGAGTGTGAGAGGAACAATGGCGGTTGTACACACTTGTGCGTTGACTCGAAGGAAGGTTACCACTGCGAGTGTAGGACGGGATTCCGCTTAGTTGGAAAGTACACTTGTGAAGGTATGATTTTAAAATCCTTTTTTTAAATTATAGATATAAGACAGAGATAAGCAAATATGTCTTCACTGAGAGACAGAAAAGTATAATTCGATTTCGTACATACAAGTTTTGAGATAAAGTGGTTGCAATGGAAGACTTTATACCTTTCAGATATTGACGAGTGCCTCGAGGTCCCAGGAACGTGCTCCCAACAGTGCACAAATACAAACGGCGGATACCACTGCTCTTGTCTCCCCGGGTATGAGCGAGACCCAGGGAATTATACACGCTGCAAGGCATCGACAGGAGAACCTTACCTTCTTTTCTCACACAGGTTTGTTGGCAGATGGTCAGAGTTTGATTCTGCAATATGATATGCAGTAATAGTCTTGTTTTGTGTGTGTGTGCCTATCTGTGTATTTATAATTATACTTATATTATTTTACATTTTGACCATTTGCCTGTAACTTGGAACTATTTTTTCTTTCCCTTTAGATACGATATCAGAAGCCTTCGTCTCCGAGATAATGATATGACTTCGGTTGTAAGTGATGCGCGGGAAGCGACGGCGTTGGATTACCTGTTCACTGGTCACCAAATTATCTGGTCCGATAACAAGGAAAATCAGATCATTAGGTTAGTATGAAGACGAAAAGAACATTTGTGAACAGTATTTGATATCAGATTGAACACTTAGTTGGAACCTCTTGTATTATATTTGTTGAAACAGCGGAATATTAAAGCTGGAACTTCATGTATTACATCATTTGTTGGAACAGCGGAATATTGATGTATTGTTTTCTTCGTTCACCAGGGCCAATATCACTACCCCAGAAGAGAGAGAAATCCTTGTTACTGGAGAACAAGTCTCTGCAGATGGGTTAGCTGTTGACTGGATTCACAATCACATTTATTACACTGACACAGGCAACTTTAAAATCCGCCTCGTGTCCTGGGATGCCAAGTGGTCGAAGACGATTGTACAGGAGGAATTAGGGCAGCCAAGAGCGATTGTTGTTAGTCCCTTAGATGGGTAAGCATTCTGTAGTTGCGAAGTTGGTGGTTGTTTAAGAGTTGTTGAAGATATTGCTATTTTCTTTGAAATTAGGTTTCTTTTAAGAATAAATTAAAAATATTTACTTTTCTAATTTTGTTTTAATTTGGTTTTCATAAAAGAGAGAAGTTTGACCCATTAATTTTTATTTTTTTCTAAATAATTTTTTGTTTGAAGTCTTAAGTCTTTGCATTTCTTCATTGCAGATACATATTTTGGACTGACTGGGGAATGTCCCCCAAGATCGAGAGAGCTGGTTTGGATGGAGAAGGCCGCACAGCCATCGTGACGGCCCCTCATGTCTATTGGCCCAATGGCATTACTATTGACCTGCCAAACAATGACTTGTACTGGTGTGATGGAAAGCTGAACACCATTAGTAAGGCCAGATTAGATGGAACCCAAATCGAGGCAAGTACTTTTTATGTATGAAACTTTGGTGTAGAAGGTTGTGATAGTATTGTAGTAAAAGCATTTTGAATAAGACCTGACATATCTATGTGTATATCATCATCAGTGTATTTTGTCGCAGCATAAAACCTTAAAATCTGTGATGCCCGTGATTAATATAATCAATCAGTCTCTTTTAGTTATATCATGTCCTTATTATTTTAATTATTTTCTACAGGTTGTTTTGTTTTCACCAAGTGTCTTGAGGCTTCCCTATTCCATTACTGTGTTTGAAGACCGACTGTACTGGACGGACTGGTCACAGCTTGCCCTCTACAGTGCCAATAAATTTAATGGAGAAGATATTCACAATGTTTCAGCAGGACACTTGGTGAGTTTGATTGGAGAAAACATGAATAGCAAGTCTAGGAAGAACAGAACTAATGAGAATCTTATTTGATTAAGGAGAGTTTTACTAGAGATGAAATATTGATACCTCACATGTACACAATTGATCATCTTCATGTTGTTACTTATTTATACCTTTATTTGAATTCCCCTTGCAGCTCGAGTCGCCAAAAGTGGTACACGTTTTCCACGAATATCGCCAGCCTAGTGGAGAAAACGTGTGTAACAGCCACACTTGTAGTCACCTGTGTATCCGAAGTCCTTTGGGTTTGGCGAAGTGCATGTGTCCTGATGGGTTGTTACTTTCGACAAGGGATTCAATTTCCTGCATTGAAGGTGGTATGTATTTATATTATTCATCAGTGTATTTTGTCGCAGCATAAAACCTTAAATCTGTGATGCCCGTAATTAATATAATCAATCAGTCTCTTTTAGTTATATCATGTCCTTATTATTTTAATTATTTTCTACAGGTTGTCTTGTTTTCACCAAGTGTCTTGAGGCTTCCCTATTCCATTACTGTGTTTGAAGACCGACTGTACTGGACGGACTGGTCACAGCTTGCCCTCTACAGTGCCAATAAATTTAATGGAGAAGATATTCACAATGTTTCAGCAGGACACTTGGTGAGTTTGACTGGAGAAAACATGAATAGCAAGTCTAGGAAGAACAGAACTAATGAGAATCTTATTTGATTAAGGAGAGTTTTACTAGAGATGAAATATTGATACCTCACATGTACACAATTGATCATCTTCATGTTGTTACTTATTTATACCTTTATTTGAATTCCCCTTGCAGCTCGAGTCGCCAAAAGTGGTACACGTTTTCCACGAATATCGCCAGCCTAGTGGAGAAAACGTGTGTAACAGCCACACTTGTAGTCACCTGTGTATCCGAAGTCCTTTGGGTTTGGCGAAGTGCATGTGTCCTGATGGGTTGTTACTTTCGACAAGGGATTCAATTTCCTGCATTGAAGGTGGTATGTATTTATATCTAATTTTGTTTTTCTAATAGTATTTACTTATCGTGTAATCTATCCTAGTAGGTATAGTTATTGTGATGTTTATTCTTTTGATGTGAATTAGAACTTAGTTTGACAAGGATTTCGTCGTTATTGTTTGCCTGCTATGAACTTGAATTCTATTTTCAGAACTTTCGGATATTGTGGATCTAAGCAGTGAACCAGGGAATCCTGTCATTCCCATCATGCCTTCAGACTTTGACTACACTAAAGAAGAAATCATTCCCTTGGAAACCAACAAATATGAAAAAATGACAACCCTGGAAGGATCCAACTTCAGCCTGATTTTTGCTGTAGGAGTTGGGTCTGCTGTGGTGTTGGCCATTGTTGTCATGGTAAATATCGTATGTCTTTTCAAGTCCAAAAGGTTGCGTTTTCTAAATGAGTTACTGAAAACTATTATAATTTCGGTGGACAGGTTTTTGCTTTTAATTCAAGTGAGTATATTTGTAATATCAACAAGGAAAAGCGCACATATGACCATGAGTTACACACGAATAAACTGTATAATTTCTTTCAACAGGTTCTCGTAGGTTTGTGGAGAAAACGGGTTGCAGCTGAAATCCCTCACATGCGCTTCCCAAATCCCGTTTACCGCAAGACTACCGATGAAGAAATGGACGGTGGTGGCTACATCATTGGCCATGATGACCTGCTATTTAAACCAACAACTGTACAGTATACAGAAGGGCCAGATATTCCCGAAGGAGATGCGGTAAGTGTTGCGTACAAATTAAAACAGTGCAACTGTAGTGACAACAACGTTGGAAATATTTGTTATTTATAATGCAAAAATAGAGCAAAAATAATTTTCTTTTCATATCTTTTACAGGATGACACTCCACTCGCTCCAAAGAAGTAAATAGTGTAAGAATTATATTTATTAGCAACTAGAAATGCAAACCTAAATGGTTAACAGTATATATATATATATCTCGGTGAAGCCTGCTGCATACTATTTCACGTATATCTGTATCACTCATTAAGGCAGGTTTATTTATGAGGCTGATTCATGTTTTGCTTCACTTCCTGGAAAAAGTACCTCGCATTTTCAAAGGTATTCCAGAATTACAGATATATTTGCCTAAATATCATTACACCTATAGTTTTTATTATGTTCAGTAAATATTCAATAGGCATGCTAGTTGAAAGCTTATTGAAACAATATATATTTTTTCTAAATGGTTTTGTACTGAATTCTGAATATCTGCAGTGTAAATTTTGACACGTAAGACTTGAGAAATTGTATCTTTTTGTCTGTGATATAATTGTATATTGTAAATAGTGTAAATAACTCATTAATCATATCATATCACATTAGGATATTGGCTTCAAAATATATAAAAAAATAGTACCCAAATATTGGATCAACTTAAGTATAAAAAAAAAATTGCTGTTGAGCCATGATATTCGCATGCCCTCATATCTCACCCTTGCCATCATCATCATCAGTATTTTAAGACATATCAGTAATGTCATTTGCTTTGAATTTCTTTTTCTTTTAGTCAGCCATAATATGGAACTTGCCAAAGGGAATTGTAAATGCTCTGCCCACCTATCTTTTCCCTTACGAGCATGTGCCTTTTTTCATATATGAAATAAGGAGATATGTTATATATATTTTTGTTACATAGTGCAGTTCCTGTAAATATATTTTATAAAATGGAGAATATAAACTGCACTCATAGTATTATTGATGGATATGTAAATTGTCTCCTTTCTCGTGATGCTTTCCTTTTACGCACATATTCATGTAATGCTGTCTTCTTTTTTTTACATTAAGATGTGGTTATGTTCAGAAGGTAAATGCATGTGTTACATATTTTCAACAAAATTTAAACTTCTTGGAATCTCAACCTGTTAGGCCAAGCGCCGTTCTGGTTTAATTAAAAATCCATTATTGGTAACAAATATAATTTCAACAATATAATGTTCTTATATTCTTATAGTTGAAAAAAAAATTGAGTGAATGTTTCATGTCCAAAGAGACTGCATTGCTTGACTGTATGACCAAACATTTTCAATGACAAAACTCTTTCCTCTTATTAAGGGGAAGGCCATTGTATTTCTCAAATATATGTTTTTGTGCTAA